TCTCTCTCTCTCTCTCTCTCTCTCTCTCTCTCTCTCTCTCTCTCTCTCTCTCTCTCTCGGTTTTTGAAAACAGACCTGGCAATTAGTTGAGCTTAACATGCGATTTTCGCCAACTTCGTCGCAGCTCGCGAGGTGAAAATTAAATCCACGCGAATGAGAGAATCGCATGTCGCCTTGAAGCCACAGTACCGCCAAATTGCAATTAAATGTTCGCACGTAGAACTCGACCTGCAGAGTCATCGACAATTATAACTAATTTAAAGTCGCGTTAATCCAGTCTGATTTAAATTCAAGCGGTTGCCGACTCGCAGAATCGCATGCAGTTAGTCGTTCGCCAATATTGCTACGAAATGTTCGCCGTATCCTAAAGCCTGTTTTGTTCGTGGCAAGCAGAGATTATTAATTTATAGCGTGCCGTGTACGTAACTCGGCTATAAATCAAACAGCAGCAGTGCCGCGCCTAATAGCAATTAATCGATTTTACGAAGATTTCACACCTACGTTTAAACGCGAATGTGTGGCGCGTTTGCGACTTTCGAGTGTCCTGGTATGTCAATTTGTGCGAATTTTGTGAATTTTCTGTCGCAACATGTACGATAAAATTTATGTTGCAGAAAAGGGAAATACGTGCTATATAATACATGACACGAGAGAAAAAAAAGACTAAATAAGACTATTAAACATGTTACTGTAATAACAAAAATTACAGAAATTAATTATCTGCCGCCGTGTTACATCGTGCGGAACAACCCCATGAACGAAAGTCGACTAACGTGGACATAGCCGGAATTATCTAGCAGTTTCGATCTTCCGTGAACCATGAATTTAACGAATATAAATTTGATCTTTCCGATCGCGCAGTTAAAGCTTTCACGCGCGACGCTTCTGCCGGGTGATCGTTAATAACGGGGATTAATCTAAAATCGCAATTAAGATCTGACCGTAAAAAATCACCTCTCGGTTCAATTAACGGTAGAAACGGCTCTTTAACGACCCGAGGAAAATCGAGGCGAACTTGGGCAATTAATTTCCTTCGGTTGCCCGCCGTGCTTCACGTGCCGCCGAAAATTTACCACGACACGATCGGTTTCCTTCCCTTTTCATCCCCCACCCCGAAATACCTTCGATTAATCCCGCGAAAATCCCTTTCCGAGCGACTCGGTATCGTATCGAATAAACTTCGACATAGCGCGCGAAACTTTGCCCGAAGTCGGAGAATCTCTATCGAGCATATCGACTCTCAACCGCATCCGCGGTAGCATAAAGTGTTCGTTAGAAATAGACGAATGAGAGTGGTAAAAGAATTGTAGCTAAAACAAATTTTGATAAATTCCGATAACACGAAAAGAAGAAAGAATTTATTAAGAGGATTATTAAGAAGATTTTATTGAAATATCTAAAATTTAACTAGAAAGCTCCGAAGATAATTTTGTTGGACCATCAAAATAATTACATAGGAATCTCAAGCATGATAAGCGATGTTGCAAAAAGTTTTAATTCCAGCAAATTCAACGTCCTAAACATAATAATTTTATATAAACCAACAAAATTATTTTCAAATCTATATCTAATTACATTTTTAGACACGTCAGCAAAATTATCCTTTCCATATAAAAACAACTTTTCTATAGAAAAAAGATCTCTTTAGAAAAAGGAACATGTGTAATCAAAGAAATAAAAGATTTAAATATCAAAATTAAATATTGCTTGAAAATTAAAATGTTCTGTAAATAATGTAAACAACGCGATTGCATCGGTCAATTCCGCGTAAATTCTTTTATTATAAAAATTGTCTTCAATTCCAAATATTCTCATTATCAAAAATTACTTCCCTTTGTATGTGGTAAGCTTATTGCATTTAAAGTAGCTCTCAAAGGAGAACAGAGACTGAACGGAAGCTGCGTGGAGAATTTATTTACGGTACTTGAAGCACTCGCGCGCGCGCCAGCAGAATGTGCCTCTTAAGACACGAAGTGCATAGTCGAGAGTTAACACAAAAGAGGAAGACAAAGATGCACAATCGCGGTGTACGCGCAAAGTACTTAGTCCGATGAAAAGTTTTGAGACGCGTACGGTTATAAAGATATTTCTCAGGAACATATTCGAACGTTGAATATAGGTAACTATATACAACTTTCGGTGTGTTTAAACGAGAATTTTGATTTGTGTTAAATAAACGATGTGATTCAGTAGCGTGGTAATAGCGAGGTATACTGGTCGTAAACTCGCACAATATAGCGCGTGAATCCATTTAAGAGCCCGATATCGAACGCGACCCGAGGATGAAGCGTGACCTCGTACACACGTGCGCTATATGTTCTTAAATGCATTGAATCTCGATTAAATTGGAAGGAGGATTATGGGATTTTCGGTCTCGCGAATACTGATATTCATTTTCGAAGTGCCGCTCGTGCGTTTCTCTCTCCCTCTCACCTTTCCACCATTCCATGATGATAAATCCAAAGACATAGAACATGGACTGCGCTATTCACATCTAATAGCGAATTTAATTACTTAGTATTATGTATTGGATTAATGTATACTAAAAGTGAAATTAATGAAGTTAAATACATGAAGTTAAATATAAAACAGTATTTACATATGTAGATGTATTAATTTAATTTAAACGATTAAATACTCAATAATGACATTGTTTTGTTAAAACACATTACATTTAACAAAATATATATATCTATATATAATTTTATTGTCAAGGTGATTATCATTATTATGCCATTTAAATACTTTACATAAACTAATCTTTAATGTGCATTACTCTAGAATAGTATAAATGACCGAATTTAATATATCAAATATATCATGGTCAATAAAAATGAGAAAAGATAAAGACGGCCAAGACAGTCTCTCTCTTTTTCTAATTGTAATTAATTATTCTCTAAATCTGAATCAGTGGATAGTCATTAATTACCTATTGGCACTGATAATCAGTGAAATTCATTAAAAAAGAAAGAATGTGTTTGAGCATTAATAATTAAAGATACTGATATTTGCATGTTAATTCCAATACTATTATCCAATACTATTATCCAATATATTCATTGAATTTAAGTTATTAAAACATGGTTAGTTAGATTACATCATAAAAATTAGCTAGGTCAGGGATCTCATATTTAATTCACCGATTATCAGGCATGGCATACTTGGCACTGATATCAATGATTATCCACTAATTCAGATTTAGAGAGTAAATATAATAGAGACTGGCCATCTTTACGCTCTTTACGCTCTATTCCTTTCATTTTGTCGATCACTTTTACACATGGATAGCACGGTCTGTACTCTATAACTTTGGATAAATCCACGTTTTTTTCAAACGAGATTCGAGGATTGCTTGCGGAATCCGTTAAAATGCATTACGAATTAACGAAGTTGTTGCTTGCACGTGCTACATAGGGAATAAGTAAATAATACATCGCAGGAGATTAAACTCCTGTGAAATTTTCAGTTACAATGGAATTTGCAGCCGAACGGGCGCGGCGGGATACAGAAATCGAGCTCGTGGCCCCGACGCGATGTCACGTTGCGTCATGTCGGATGAAAGGATAATGTCGAAGATCGCTCGATATACATTACGCCTCCTCGGGTAGAAAGGAAATTTCTCGAGAGACCTTTGAAAATGCCATCATTCTCGTTAGCAAAGACAGTCTCGAGATGATCCCCAATTATTAAAACGCTTCCGTTATCTAGACGCGCTTACGGCAAACGAGATGGTAAGCCGCAAGAAAGGAGTTGTCACGAATCCGAAAAATCAGTGCAGCGTGGAAGTGCAGCGTGGAATAAAAATACCTTTGAAAAGGATCGAGATCTTAGTTGTTTTAATGTTATCCGCTCATCTTCTAGCGAGGCGGAGAGAAATCAAACGAGCATCCACCGAGCTAACGAGAAGACGTGTAAATGCGCACCATTTACCGTTGCAACGTAATGAAATCATTAATGTTATTAAATGGAATATTAATTTCATGCATAATGAGTGGAGATGCTAGTAAAACGCACTGTATTTACGATGCGCGCACGTGCAA